ATTTTATCAACTTTTTTTTTTGTTAAGTACCACATTTTGTTTGAATGTACACATGTAACAGGTATAACAGAAAATATATGTACCTGAACATATAAATATTTGTTTTATTGTAGAACGCCTTGATTTTCGCCTTCTAAAGCACTGTAACCTTGCATCTATTTACTCAGCTTTAATGCTATCCTTTAAAAATGTTCAAAGAATTCATGAAATGAACCAACAAATACTGGCTCTTTAAATACTTTAAATAGGTACTGTGAATCTGTGAACAGCTTGTCCCTCACCTCAATACCCACAGCTGTGATTACTTTTCACCACACAAAAACCTGGCTTTGAAAAGCGTTCAATCTCCAACAATTCCTCCAATGTAAGAAAAACTCTCAATAAAAAGTTGAAAGCGCATTATCATGCTTGAGTACCTCCCGCGTGCTACAGCAGCTGTGCCCGCCCTAACGGCATTGCCAGACAATATACAAACATACATACATACATACATACATACTACGTACATATTTCGGCAAGCCTTTAAAAGGAGGAGGCATGACTTGAAATTGGAAGAGAGAGAATGGAATAAAATGGAATACCCAAAATTGCAACCTACTTTGTATGTCATTGCGGTAGGTCTGCTAGGCGAAACGAAAAGGAACAGAGCGGAAATTCAAATCAGGAAACGACCAACTTAATCTTACTGAACTCTCCGAATTCCTTCCATCTGCATGGGCATAAATATTCCGATATTACACGTTCATATCTAGCATCGAGTTGGTAACGAATTTCCTGCTCATATGCAAATTTGTATTGTCTTCCCTTCTATGTGTATTTGTGCCACAATTGTGGGCCCCCCTTAATTTTCCTCTTTTTGCTACTCTTATATGACTTTGTTTGCTCTCTTCCGCTATCGCTTCTGGCTTTTGGGTTCTCTTTTTGTGGAGGCGTACTAGATTGAAGTGTCTCCACAGACACGACACTCACACACACTCACATATTCATGGTGTTGGTCTGTTGTTGCGATGCCACGCATTTATAGCGGGGGCTGTGGGGGTCGCACATCTATTGTTTGCTTTTTGGTTGTGGTTTTTATGGAATGGACTTAGCGCCATGTGGGTGTGTATGGATGGATACCGTTCTTGTCGTATTAATTTTCATTGAGCAAATCAAATGATGCAATAAAATGTTGATTTTATTATTATGCTGAGGTGGCTCTTTTTCTTGTAGTATAACAGTTTTTTTAAAGCAGATTCAACAATCATTTAGATAAATGTATTGAAATATTTAATGTATAACAGACTGTATAACAGTTGCATACTTGTATAACAGTTTTAAATTTCTCTTTATATGTTAACTGTATAGATCACGAAGTATTTTGTTTCATTTATAAATATGTATTCTGTATAACAGTTTGTATAGCTGTGTCAATATTACTTTAGCATTAGCTGCGTATCACAGTTAATTTGCCTTGATAAGATTACGATTTATTACACTCTTATATAAATATGTATGTCAGTGTATAACATTTTAGATAACTTAGGATTGGCGAACTGTTGTTTGTCTGGAGCAGAACGAATATGTTTATAACAGATGGGTATAACATTCAGAATGGTATAACAAGTTGTATTATCGATTAAAAGTGTGCCCACAACGTTGCTTCTAACAGTAGCTACAAAAGTAAGCGCTAATTTAAGCAAAATCCGTGCTAAAACTTAACACAGTTTCGATTCACAGTTCATTGGCGATTGTCAGCCCCAACTGTGCGCCAGTTCGTCATCGTTTTATCCTGTGGAAGGCCACTCGAGCGGCTTAGCGAACAGCGAGAACAACTAAATCCATCAAGATCGACCCAGTTTATGGTGGGGCAAAAAAGCCGGCCGCCCCATCATCAGTAGCGGGGCATAGCAGTCCATTTATTCATTCATTCCGTCGTTGGCTCCTCAATGGGCAATGGAAAATTATGCTATGGTTGTGTGTTTCCTTTATGACGGTTACTTACAGCCGGCAGCTCATCAGGAGGCGACTTGTTTGCACAATTCTCGATGCACACAATCCACATGCGAGGACTACAAACAGACATACATCATATATAGTAGTATGTAGACACTGTGCCGAGTAGTTCCGAAATAGGCGGAACATAGAGGACTTGAGTACAGGGGACTTATCGTACGAGCACTTGAGCGAGTGAAACAGCGATGAGGAGGGTCTTGTGTCCACAGCAAGGGTGTACGAGTAGTAGAGTGTACTTACGAGCCCTGGCGCGGCAGTTAAAATCCAAAATGAAATTTGTGTTGAGCGCAAAATGTGTTAACCTTGGCTAGCACAACATGGTGTAAACACACGGACTTACTCCTAACCCTGAGAATGGCATACAACACACATGTGCTAACCAAGAGAAACCTGTACTCTACCCCATACACGATTCATTCTCTGCCTCAGACAAAAACCCCCCACACACTTGGTTAAACATTGCATTGAAGGCGACACAAAATTTTAATTATGTCTACAGAGACACACACCCACACACACTCAGGAGGGGAGTGTACTCGGAATAAAGCCAACAAATGTGTGCAGCAGTTAACAAATTGGTTGTGCCCCGAGCCTAATTCTATCAATAAAACTTTCATCAAGCTTAAGTGACATTTTGGGGGAAAAGCCCTCCCTCCCTGCAAATTTTCTATTTAGTTAAATCGTTGCTGCTATTTGAACAAATTGCCATTGAAATTGAGCCTGAATGCCAGCCAGGTGGCGCTGGAAAAAGTACGAGTAAAGTAGGTGGGAAAATTGTTTGCATTATGGTGCTCGCAGCTCGTGCACGTATACAATTTTATCGATTTTTTACGACATATTTTACACGTTGAAGCGTGCAAAATGTTAAGCGCGAAGGTACGGAAACGCAGGGTCGGTCGCACATTTAAAAGGCAAAAGCCAAACATGTCCCTCCCCCTTCATGGAGAGCACCGAATGGGGGGTTTGTGGGTGATGTATGCTTTGGACCATGGTCCTGCAGCTAAAGTCAAGTGCCGACCGACGACCGAGTACAAATTGAAATGTATGCACAGAGAATGTTAACATTGCAGCAAATTGCAGTTATTATACATACAAACACAAAACAAAATACATACTTTCACATGATGGAGCAAAAGAGGGGAAAAAGAGAGAGAGAGTGTGCTGAAAAATGCAGGGCATGCTGAAAAATGTTTCCACAATTATGTTAGGAATTTAGAAGTTTTTTTTTGCTTTGTTAAATGTTTTGCTTTCAGTTACTTGAGCTTTTTTTTTTGTAATATTACAACTTGTTATCGTCAAATATAATTCACAAGCTGTTATATGTGCACGAAACGTCTTTGCAAAATCAGTTTTTACTCTCAAAAAAGCTAGCTCTGCATTATTAACGCTGTGTATTGCATTTTTAGCTACACTTTAGCTGCTAACTGGCACTACAAATGCTAAAAACTGTGGAGGCATGACGGACTATCTATTGAAAACCAGAAATAAATATTAAACCAATAAATATTAGCATATAAAACTGTTTTAACTGTGGTGTCAGACCATTTTTAGGATGATTAAAATCGATTATGCTTGCAGTATAACTTATTTAATCGAATGGAAAGCCAGGAAATATGCGCGTATATCCCATAAACCTTACTCAGAACTGATGCGTGTAAATGGCTCTAATCTACTGATACTCTAGCTATGCTTTTATGTTTATTCAATTGTGAAGCCAATTTAATCATTTTGCATGTCATTTAAAGACATTTTGTGCTTTTGATGATGATGATGATGATGATTCAGTTGTAGCGTCATGGAATGTGTGGGGGAATGGCTTTGTCTGTGGCACAGCTTGTAATTCAATTTCCATGCCAAGCGAAATGCCAAAGGCGTAAACATGAGCGAACCCCCCGCCCCCCATGGAGGGCTGTCCGTCCGTCCTTTTCATTTGCTTTCGCTATCTGGCAATCGGAAGCAACGCGGAAATGTATGCTATCTGGTGAATGCGATTGCCAGTGACAGTGACAGCTGTGGCTGGCTGCTTTCAGTCCATATAACACAATAAACGCGTATAACCCCCCCGCACACAAATCCAACAAATTGTCGCATTTACTTTTAATAACTTTTTCTCTCTGGTCATTCACGGGACCCTACAATAAACGACGCTTCCCAACCAAACAACAACCAAACAAATCCCAACAAATCTGTAGGCTTTGTTTGTGTTGTGTTCGTTTGGCTTTTGTTTGGTCCGTTGCCAAATGCTCAACACGTGCTACGTTTTTTTTTTTTTTGTTGTTGCAGAATGGTTGGCCGTGGCTCACTTATGTCCGAACTCTGGACCCTTTTTGTGACCGCTTGCCATCTGTCCGATTTATGACAGGCTCGCTTGACACAAATGCCTTGGAATCCCCCCCCAATCCCCACTCTGCTGAGTTAAATATAGCTACACTTTAATGTTCGCTTAGAGCTTGTAATCGATTTCGTTCATGAGTAGATTATGTTGCTCTGGTTTCAGGGTACATCAATCACTTGTTGGGTCGGCTGGGCCTGGCCCCCATGCCTCCCCACCTAAAGCACCTGTCAATTAGCACTTAGGGCATGACAGAGTCTAACAACAGCAAAAACCGTAAGCAGCGAGACTTGAATCGAACAGCAGACGTCATGCACACGACATGTATTTGGTTTTTTTTTTATTTTTTTCTACAAGGCTTTGCACAGAATACAGCTGGAGCAGTTGGAAGCAGGGACATCTTTTACTTCGCTTAGACAAATGTTGTCGAACCTCTAGAAAGGTTTTTGCAAATGAGGATGTGAGCTTTAAGAGGCTAAAAATAGGACTTTGAATACCTAAAACTATTCAAAAGACTCCCGCAATGAAGTCTTGTGTAACCTGAACTCCCCACAGATGCAATCTCCAGTTGCAATCTAGCAGCAACCCCCCAGCAACCAATCATGCATTAATGTGCAATCAATTTTAATTATATTGCCATACCATATTAACCTTTGGCATTTTTATTTTACAGGTTCTCCAGCCGCTACGAGATTCCATTGCTGGTGCAGAGCGTTGTCATGAATGTCACCATGTTCCTAATGATCCATCTGTGCGTGAAGGTGAAGCGAGTCGGTGCCAATAACCGGGAGCATGCACTGCGAGGTGGGTACCGTCCCTCCAGTCCATAGATTGAAAAACCAAGCAATAACCTTTACCCCATCCCCTCTCCTCCCCCTTTGCAGGTGATGAACTGCATTTGCCCAAAGTGATGACAGATGCGGATGCCAGCGTCAGTGCATCGACCAGTGCGGGTGGCGGCCTCAAGCGAGCCCGTTCCAGGCATTATTTCAACGGTGAGTCAACTGCAGCAGCGATTGAAAAGTTTTTCACACAATTGACGGCAATTTCCGGCTGTCTTAAATGATGATGTCCCATCATGCCGGGGGGCACAGAGCAGTATCTGGGCAGGGGCTGCGTTGCAAATGCCTTTTCCATTACCACTAAAGGAAGAAACACTGCAGAGAAAGCCCAACCTTGTGTCTATTTTTATCATAATTTATCTTTATGCGCCTTTTTACTTTACGTTTTCTCTCCTTCATTACTTTTTGCTTCTTATCTGTAAATGAAAAATAAGCACAAGAAAACTGGGTTAAAGGGAAGCACTGTTGGAGGTCTGGGGGTAAATTGATCAATGGACAAACCCACACACACCCATCCACCCACACACCCACACACCACACACCACACCCTTACATGCATCTATAGACTCGAGCTAATTATATTGGCACGCCTTGGGCTTCTTCTCTTCCTTTGTTGTATGTTTTGTACATTCCGTTCCGTTCCGTTTCTGTTCTACGCTGTCGTTGATTGTGCCAGCGCCTAAAAGCAAGCCAAGATAATGAAAATTGATTTCCAACTGTAATTGTTACCATCCGCGCAGCGCAAACGCAACGCAACGCAGCTGGCCATCGTTTGACATTGAGTGATTTATAGAGCTGTTAACTACTGGTTGGGTCATGACCTTTTCCATCTAAAATCAATCTGTATAAAAGGAAAAACATATAACTGTTTTGAGTTGTGTGTGTTTCGGTTCTTTAGAGCCATCAAAGGGTTGTTTGTGGCTTTTAGGCACAGTTAAGTGCTGTATAACAGCTGGTATAACAGTATAACAAACATATAAAAGGTTTTCTTAAGTCTTAAAACATATTCTGTAACATTCGGGTAGAATTTTAAGACGTATAACAGCTGGTATAACAGTTTCATAAATTTGTTTAATTCGTGTTTTTTTTTGTAAAATTTCTATTGATACAGTTTTTTAACCCGTCAAATTTAATGCGGTATAACAGTTTCAGTATTTTGTAGAGAAAATATTTCAATTGATCTAGAGACTATCTTAATAAATAAATCTATAAAATGAAATCTATTTAATTAAATTAAACTTTCAATTACAGATTTAGATTTGAAATTCTTTTGGAACTGGACAGACTTTCAATCGTATCTGGACTTTATGCTGTTCGTGTGGGCTGTGGGCGCCCTCGTTACATTTGTAATGCTCTCCGTGCACTGGTTTATGGAGTCCATGGGCTTTGTGGCCGTCTTTACAGAGGCCATGTTGGGTAAGTTCACAGACAGACTCTCTTAGCCGCAATTCTTTTACTAATTTTTGTTGTGATTTTTGTGTGTAGGAGCGCCGCAATTTCTGCGCAACTTTAAGAATAAATCAACATATGGAATGAGCATACACATGGTGATCATGTGGACGCTCGGTGATATGTTTAAGACTGGTTATTTTATTGTTAGGAAAGCACCATCGCAATTCTGGATCTGTGGCATGCTGCAGGTAAATCCTAAACGAAGTTTCTTTTAACTTACTTCCATTTATAATTGGACTCTGGTCGTTTTGTATCGTTTGCAGGTCAGCTTGGATATAGCCATATTGTCACAGGTCTGGTTCTATCGCAACAATTCCAAGCCGCGCGACTTGCGACGCGGCGATTAGCAGTTTGCCCCCGAAGAACAACCACAGCACCACGACCTGCACATATCCCAATCGGAGGAGCATCAGCTCTCCCTGCCCGTCACCCTCAGTAGCAGCGGTGACGATCACCTACTCACCGCCCGGGCCGATGACGAGCACTTCAAGGTGCTCGACTTTGGCCAGTGTCACGATAATCGTGCCTTCCAATATCACCACAACAACAACAAGCTGCTGCCACGACCCGGCGGCAGTGGCAAGAGCAAGGACGAAAGCAGCATGGCCGCCGCACTGGAGGTGGTCATTGTGCATTCACCCAATGCCGGCAAGGATGTCCGTGTGATTGGCGGCCACGAGCCGAGTCTGCACAGCAGCTGTTGTCGTCACGGCCATGCGGCCAGGAAGCGTCACAATGCCACACAGACGACCGGCACTGCCGAAGCAACGACCACCAGCACAGCGCAGGCCGGGCAGCTGGATGGCAGCTGTTGTTGTGTCATTACCACGCACCATCACCACTGCCACTGCAGCAGCCATCGTCACCGGAATCATCATCATCACAACAGCCATAGCCACAGCCACAGCCATCGTAGCCATCATTGTCAGCCACATCATCACTCGCATCATCATCACAATCACGCATCAAAGCGACGGGCACTGCTCCGTCAGCCACGACACCGTCACCATCATCAGCAGCACCAGCAGAACCAGCAGCAGCAGCAGCAGCTGCAGAATCATCGACAGTCCGCCAGTAAGCACAGTCCGCGCTTAGGGAATCAATCCAAGCTTCCACACAATAACAAGTCTTCCCTGGACTCCAGCGAGGAGGTGTTGCATCATCAGGAAATTGCCATTGAGATTGATGCCGCCACCATGACCGAAGGCGATGAGGATGAGGAGGAGAACAACAGCAGCACAGCCACCTCTAATTTCCCCTACAAGGTAGCCAGCGAGGGTGTGATTCCCATTATAATGGCTCCGCTGCGAGAGCAGACGCGCCGTCGTCGAGGGTCTCTGAACTCCAATACCACCATCGAGACCGATGAACTCTCCCACGATGAGAATGATGACGACGACGATGACGACGATGATGATGATGTTAGGATAGGTCAAGAGCAGCTGCCCGAAGATGAGGCACCGATGCAGCCAGCAGTAAACACGGCCAGCTCCAGCAGCACCACCAGAGCGGCTGCTGTTTCGGCGCCCGCCCGCAACGAGTGTGTGCGAATCAAGAGGAAACGCTTTATTCCCGACGCTGGAGCGGATTGCTGCAGCAGCTGCTCCAGCTGTAGCTGCAATCGCGGACAGTCGAGCTCCTGCAGCAGTCTTGAGGACGATATGAATGCCCACGAGCTGACCGTCGCCGTGGAGTGCCATCAGTGCAACCAGCAGTCGCAGGTAGTCGCAAGCAGGCGTTGCAGCTTCTGCTCTTGCCACACTACCAGCTGCTGCTGCGGCTCCTGCTCCCAGGAGGAGGAGGAGGTCTATGCCGGCGATGACGATGATGATGACGACGATGACGAGACCACTGGCCAGAGGGAGAGCTTCTGCACGGCTGCGGATCACACCATTATGAGCACTCCCACCCACGATGGCGAGGAGCCGCACAGCAGCACCCTAACGCCGCTGAGCACGCAAAGATCCTCCCTGCTGGATCTGGCCGAGCACACGATGCGCAGTGATGGTGCGCCCGGTACACAGACAGATGCGGATGCCTCCTCGCTCAGCCAGTCGGCCGAATACTTCTCCCTTTCCTCCAATGCGGGTCCACTCCAAAGTCTGTCCAAGGAGGCGGACGAGAAGGTGCAGCAGGAGTCACCAGAGCCGCAGCCGCAGCCGCAGCTGCAGCCACCGCCACCGCCGTCAGGGTGCAAGCACTCGCGAAAGCATAGTCGAGGCCGCCAGAAACGCAGCTCCTCGCCGCTGGACAGCCATTTATGACGAAGTGTTTCGCTGGTCGCCTGGCCAGCCATCGATGTGAATGCGTTGCTACAGCAGACGATACGCAAGTCCGCCGTGCTGCAGGAGACGCCCGTTCGAAGGAAGCCGCCCACAGCCACTGTCCAGGGGAAGCAGCTGCCACTGGCAGCGATAGCCATAGCCCCTGGCAGCAATGACAGCTCCACAGCCACGCTGACGCCCAGCATCATTACAATTCAGTCAAAGTATTCCGGATCGGGACAGGGATCCGCATCGGGACTGGTGACCAGCATTTGTGGCAGCAATGGGTGCAGCACGACCACCTACACCACCATTTCGGCGGGCGGTGGCTCCTCCAAGCGCAAGTACTCTCCAGTGCCGGTCACAGATGCCTTCCAGTGCGATCCCCTGCAGCGGAGCTCGACCGAAATCATCTTATAACTCATACATACCTCTAAACACCTCCCTCCCCCTGTATGCTACAAAACTGTTCTACAGCACAGTACCGCTGTATAACAGTTAGATGTGGGCGGTCAGGGTCCAGGTCAGGGCAAATCATTTACTAGGGATTCATGTGCAAAAAACAAACAAAACCAATTTCGTGGATATATTCGTTCCCAAAATGCTGTACAATTTGTTGTTATTTCGGGGGTGCCCCAACACTGATGCAAAAATCAATTTACAATTAAATTATTTCATTAAGTATCCAATGTACATTATCTTTTTTTGTTAGCATCAGAGAAAGAGAAAATTGTTTTAGCCTAGACATAAATTATAGTTTTCTATGTGAATTTAATAGGTTTCAGCTGGTGGGAAAGGGAGGGGAGGGACCAACAAGTTCACAGGACAAAAATATCCAACATATCCTCATTGACACTCATTGACCGACTTTCGGGCCTTGCCAATCTACTGCGCTTCTTCCCACCCCCCCCAGCCAGCCAGCTGGGGCCTCTCGTACCTTGTTTAAATCATCATTTGATAGTCAATTCATTTCATAGACACGTAAGATTGTACGATTTCTAGAATTTGTATAAACTTAACGTATCAACTTTAAATCTCGATATTTTATACATTAAAGAACTTTAGTTTTATTATTTCCTAGCAGAATTTATTAGCTAAGATACCCTGAAACGAAAATAAAACGAAACAAACACCAAAAACAACACACACAAAATTATGATTTCTTTTTTATTTGTTACTCTTTTTGGTTGAACTTAAAAATATAAGTATGTATCAGCAGCAGCCTATGTATGTATGCCCCACTTAGCTACCATTTAATGTTTATAGAGTTATTTATGCTATTAATACAAAGAGAAGAGACGACGTAAACGCAGCCAAATATCTTCCTTGCAATATTGAGATTCCGTTGAAAACGTAACACACAATTTAAATATGAAATCAAATTTATTTCGTAAGCCTCCTTAAACTGTATTCAAAGTGCTTGAGAATATTTAAGAAATATTTAAAAACAAAAAACAAAATAAATTTAAAAAAATATCAATTAAGGCAATTGAACATTTGTTGATTAGTGCGTAGCGGCCATTTTTGATTGTTTGCCTAGTCTGTATGGGTTATATAATGCTAGGGATATACTATATAATCAATGTGTTGCAGCAGCGCAGTATTTTATTCTTTGTGGAGCAAAATATCCAACAATTTCCACTCCAATTGTAACGAGTTACTTATTCAACTGAAAAAAAAAAATTTACAAAAATGATAACAGAAATACTCATAATCAATAAGGAAAACTGTTATACGATGCATTTCATAGCTGAAAACCCAATTATTACATATATACATATATACATACATACATACAAACATATAAATATTACACAGATATATAAAACATATTCCTAAGTCAAATCCATGAAAAGCAATAAAATGCATACAACAAGTTGAATTTCGATAATAATCATACTTGTTTAAAACTAAAATGCGTCATGAGCGCTAAAGAATTTACTTTATTGGTGTACTAGACATTTCTCAGACAAAATAAACATGAATTATATGATAAAAAAAAAAAAACCACCAACCACCAAAACATGTCTATTTAAATTCAAACTCGACTGAAATATTTCGCTGAGCTATCGATGACTGTGGGAAGTAACGATATTTTTTTTTTTCGCTGAGAGGGGGTTATAGTGTTATGACATTAGGCTAGAGAATTTTGCTGCGTAGGAGCAAAGACTCTATAACACTCTATAGAGCTGCCGAACCCAGGTTCTACAATTTTTTGCCGCTTGAACCGAAATTGGTTTTTATTCCCGTATTCAAAACGAGTTAAGGGGTATATTGTATTTGTGGTAAAAGTGGATGTGTGTAACGCAGATAAGGAAACGTTTCCGACCCCATAAAGTATACATATATATTCATGATCAGCATCAATAGCCGAGTCGATATAGCCATGTCTGTCTGTCCGCCTTGATGAGCGTCTAGATTTCAGAGACTATTAACGATAGAGCAACCTAATTTTGTTTCCTGACTCATGTGATATCACACTGCTACAAGTGTATTTCAAAATTTCGCCGCGCCCCCTTCCGTCTCCAAAAAGGATGAAAATCTGTGGCAGCCACAATATTAAATATACCAAAAAAGTAAAAGCGTATTATCGTAGAGAATGACCATATCTACCAGATTGCCGAATCTGAATCAGATCGGATTATAATTATAGCCAAAATAAAGAAATTAATTTAAATTAATTAAATTAATTTTCCTCCTTCAGCAAGAGACCTGGTACTCATTCTCTTTCTCGCGCGCCTCCTTATGTACGCGAGCGGCCTCTAACAGAGGAAATGTATAATCTAAATTGTCCATGCAGAATATATATGTTAGATGTAGAATATATGTACATTGTAGATGTTGCTAACAGATGTAGCAAAAAATTTTAAATTAAATAATTTAATTCAAATCTGAGATACCAGGCGCACAGAAATCAGCAGAAGGTCGCTGCTTTTTTTAAATTCTCTTTTTTTCTTGTTTCTCTTTGTATTTCGTTGATCTCTTTTTTCGCTCTCATTTTTCCCATTTTCTGCCTCCGCTTGCCACCGTTCGAATGGCAGAAAACCGTTAAATTCAAATCTGAGATACCAGGCGCACAGAAATCAGCAGAAGGTCACTGCTTTTTTTAAATTCTCTTTTTTTCTTGTTTCTCTATGTATTTCGTTGATCTCTTTTTTCGCTTTCATTTTTCCCATTTTCTGCCTCCGCTTTCCACCGCTCAAATGGCAGAAAACCGTTAAATTCAAATCTGAAATACCAGGCGCCCAGAAATCAGCAGAAGGTCGCTGCTTTTTTTAAATTTTCTTTTTTTTCTTGTTTCTCTTTGTATTTCGTTGATCTCTTTTTTCGCTCTCATTTTTCCCATTTTCTGCCTCCACTTTCCACCGCTCAAATGGCAGAAAACCGTTGAATTCAAATCTGAGATACCAGGCGCACAGAAATCAGCAGAAAGTCGCTGCTTTTTTTAAATTCTCTTTTCTTCTTGTTTCTCTTTGTATTTCGTTGATCTCTTCTTTCGCTCTCATTTTTCCCATTTTCTGCCTCCACTTTCCACCGCTCAAATGGCAGAAAACCGTTAAATTCAAATCTGAGATACCAGCCGCACAGAAATCAGCAGAAGGTAGCTGCTTTTTTTAAATTCCTTTTTTTCTTGTTTCTCTTTGTATTTCGTTGATCTCTTTTTTCGCTCTCATTTTCCCATTTTCTGCCTCCACTTCCGCCGCTCAAATGGCAGAAACCGTTGAATCAAATCTGAGATCCAGGCGCCAGAAATCAGCAGAAGGTCGCTGCTTTCTTAAATTCTTTCTTGTCTCTTTGTATTTCGTTGAATCTTTTTTCGCTCTCATTTCCCATTTTCTGCCTCCGCTTTCCACCGCTCAAATGGCAGAAAACCGTTAAATTCAAATCTGAGATACCAGCCGCACAGAAATCAGCAGAAGGTAGCTGCTTTTTTTAAACTTTTTTTCTTGTTTCTCTTTGTATTTCGTTGATCTCTTTTTTCGCTCTCATTTTCCCATTTTCTGCCTCCACTTTCCGCCGCTCAAATGGCAGAAACCGTTGAATTCAAATCTGAGATCCAGGCGCACAGAAATCAGCAGAAGGTCGCTGCTTTCTTTAAACCTTTTTTCTTGTTCTCTTTGTATTTCGTTGAATCTTTTTTCGCTCTCATTTTCCCATTTTCTGCCTCCGCTTCCAACGCTCAAATGGCAGAAAACCGTTAAATTCAAATCTGAGATACCAGCCGCACAGAAATCAGCAGAAGGTAGCTGCTTTTTTTAAATTCTCTTTTTTTTCTTGTTTCTCTTTGTATTTCGTTGATCTCTTTTTTCGCTCTCATTTTTCCCATTTTCTGCCTCCGCTTGCCACCGTTCGAATGGCAGAAAACCGTTAAATTCAAATCTGAGATACCAGGCGCACAGAAATCAGCAGAAGGTCGCTGCTTTTTTAAATTCCTTTTTTTCTTGTTTCTCTTTGTATTTCGTTGATCTCTTTTTTCGCTCTCATTTTCCCATTTTCTGCCTCCGCTTGCCACCGTTCGAATGGCAGAAAACCGTTAAATTCAAATCTGAGATACCAGGCGCACAGAAATCAGCAGAAGGTCGCTGCTTTTTTTAAATTCTCTTTTTTTCTTGTTTCTCTTTGTATTTCGTTGATCTCTTTTTTCGCTCTCATTTTTCCCATTTTCTGCCTCCGCTTGCCACCGTTCGAATGGCAGAAAACCGTTAAATTCAAATCTGAGATACCAGGCGCACAGAAATCAGCAGAAGGTCGCTGCTTTTTTTAAATTCTCTTTTTTTCTTGTTTCTCTTTGTATTTCGTTGATCTCTTTTTTCGCTCTCATTTTTCCCATTTTCTGCCTCCACTTTCCACCGCTCAAATGGCAGAAACCCGTTAAATTCAAATCTGAGATACCAGGCGCACAGAAATCAGCAGAAGGTCGCTGCTTTTTTTAAATTCTCTTTTTTTCTTGTTTCTCTATGTATTTCGTTGATCTCTTTTTTCGCTTTCATTTTTCCCATTTTCTGCCTCCGCTTTCCACCGCTCAAATGGCAGAAAACCGTTAAATTCAAATCTGAGATACCAGCGCACAGAAATCAGCAGAAGGTCGCTGCTTTTTTTAAATTCTCTTTTTTCTTGTTTCTCTTTGTATTTCGTTGATCTCTTTTTTCGCTCTCATTTTTCCCATTTTCTGCCTCCACTTTCCACCGCTCAAATGGCAGAAAACCGTTAAATTCAAATCTGAGATACCAGGCACAGAAATCAGCAGAAGGTCGCTGCTTTTTTAAATTCTCTTTTTTTCTTGTTTCTCTTTGTATTTCGTTGATCTCTTTTTTCGCTCTCATTTTTCCCATTTTCTGCCTCCGCTTTCCACCGCTCAAATGGCAGAAAACCGTTAAATTCAAATCTGAGATACCAGGCGCACAGAAATCAGCAGAAGGTCGCTGCTTTTTTTAAATTCTCTTTTTTTCTTGTTTCTTTTTGTATTTCGTTGATCTCTTTTTTCGCTCTCATTTTTCCCATTTTCTGCCTCCACTTTCCACCGCTCAAATGGCAGAAAACCGTTAAATTCAAATCTGAGATACCAGGCGCACAGAAATCAGCAGAAGGTCGCTGCTTTTTTTAAATTCTCTTTTTTTCTTGTTTCTCTTTGTATTTCGTTGATCTCTTTTTTCGCTCTCATTTTTCCCATTTTCTGCCTCCACTTTCC